AGAAGGACATACGAGGTAGAAAAAGAGAGAACATAAAAACATAGCATAGACAGATTCACACAAAGAAAAGAAGAAGAGGAGTCAGAAAACATTTTAAAACTTTTTCAGAAACCCTAAATCGAAGAGAAACAAATTTTGAAAGAAAAGATTGGGGAAAATGTTTTAAAACTCCAGTAGAACACAGCATAGATCTAAGGAAACAACCAGAGAAAACCTCGAATAGCTTAGGGTTTCAGAGAAACCCTAGAAATGAGAAAGGCTTGGAAGAAAGTCCGATCTTGAGTCGGAGAGGTCAGAAATAGGCTCCTGATGCTTGGATATGCCGGAGCGAGGCCGGAGAGGCCTCAAAGACATGGATCTGAGAATATTTGAAAGAACACCATCGAGGTCAGACCTCGAAACTTCGAACACCCAGGGTTTAAAGGTGGAGGGGGGTGAGTACAGGCCATCCATGGCCTGAGAAGCCACGGATTCCGATGAAAGTGCGGTTGAAAAGGGCAGAAGATGACTAGGGTTTCGAGGAACCTTCGAGAGAGTTTTGCGAGAGGAGAGTGTTTGAAGGAGGCTGAGAGATGGAAATGAGGGAATTAGGGTAGGGTTAGGTGAATTAAAAAGGCAAGGGGTGATCGTGGCCGTTGATCAAAACGATCAACGGCCGGAATTTAAAGAAAAGGCCAGGCGGGTTAATTGGTTGGGTTGGGGGTCGGGTTACAATTGAGATCGGGCTGGTCTAATTGGGAGTTTAGGATTGGGTCAATTTGGCTATAATTGAAATAAATTGGGCTACATATTAAATAGCCAGTTTTTCCTTTTTATTTTATAAACAATTGTAAAAAAGATTCTGAAATTAAATTAAAAGTACTAAAATTAATTAATAATATATAAATATTAAATTAAAAATGCTGGAATCAAATTGGTAATTATAAACGCAATTAATTCTTAAAATAGGCTAATATTGCAATTATGTGCAATTTAGTTTTAAAAATACTAAATAAATTTGTAAAAATGTATAAAAATTATCTTAGCTATATTTTGGGATAAATATGAGCATAAAATAAATTAATCACCAAAATGATAATTTGAGGAATAACTATTGGTTTTTGTATTGCTAAAAAAGGGCAATAATTTGATTATAAAAATCTTTTAGAAATTAGGAAAAATACTAAAACACTTGGGCTTGCTTATATATGTATATATATGTTATTTTGAAAATATATAGGGAAAAATTGGGTATCAACAGTGTGCATACTTGGATGACCAAGTTTTCTATGCCAAACCCAGGGATCTTCAATTATAGAAGTAAGACAAATTTGATCCCCAAAGTTTTCCAAGTTTTTGATAGTATAGACATTTCTATTCCTATTACCAGAGAGAATGATGTTACCTGATTCGTCTTCTATGAACCAGCCATGTTTCTTAAAACGAACCTCATAATCATTGTCACATAGTTGACTGATGCTGAGAAGATTGTAGCCGAGTTCATCGACTAAGTAAACTTCATCCACGTCACATGTAGAGCTTAAAGGAACCTTTCCAACACTAATAACATTTCCTTTGAATTTGTCACCAAAGGCAATTGTTCCTCCATCTAGCTTGGTGACTGATTTGAACAATTGTTTGTCACCCGTCATATGTCTGGAACACGCACTGTCGAGATACCATTTTCCTTTTTGATTCTTCTTGCGATGTTCCTCCAAAACAAGATTACTTATTTTTAGGTACCCAAGCCTGCTTGGGTCCTGAAAGGTTAGATTTCTAAGAGTTAGTTTGATTTGGAGATTTTGGTCTCCAAATCCATTTTGAGGTGTGACCTCTTTTTACCACAGTAGGTGCAAGATGAGCTGTTAGATTTGCCAGAATTATTTTCAGCTCTAATTCTGTTCCTGCAATTGTTAGTGCTATGACCATTGAAGTAAGGGGGTCGAACCTGAGAGGTTCCTTCTTGAAAGAGAGCACCGACAACAGTGTTGGATCCCATTGATCTTTTTCTCACTAGCGGTAAAGCAAAGATTGTGAGCCTTGCTCTGATACCAATTGAAATTACAAGAAGGGGGTGAGTTGTTGACTAATTAAAATTTGGTCGACTAATACAAGTATTAGTTGACTAATCACAAGACAGAAAGAGCGAAAGCAGTAAAGAGAAATGATAAGGCACACAGCGATTTATACTGGTTCGGTACCGTTGTGGTACTTACATCCAGTTTCTCTGGGTCACAAGGGTTCCCTTAAGATCTTTGAACAAAGTTACAATATTGATGGTTTTATCGCGTTTACCACCAACGTACACTATCAACACTTGAGCTCTAATCAGTTGACACAACTTTCTTTTGCACTCTAGATCTCTCTATCTTTTGAGACACTGATAACTTAGAATTACAGTGTTTGAACTAAGAAGTAGACAGATTTGGAATACAGTTTGTGTAGTTGCGTGATCTTATTCTTGAGGGATCAGCCTTCTTATAAGAGAGAAAAGAGCCGTTGAGTATTTTTCGAAATCAGAGGCACAAGATCTTTAATTAAGGAATTTGACCCAAGGGGTGCCTCTTCGAATCTTGCTCTTTGACTAGCCCAGATTCGAATGTGACCTTCCTTGTCACAGCTGAATTCAAGGAGACGTTTATGCCTTGAGAGATTAATTCACGAGCGCGATCTTCTAAAATAGAGTATCCATGATTGGCAATCTGAGTTCCCTTGATTGAGGATGAGTCAATTTGCTTCTTGATTGATCATTAATGCAGTAATGGTATCTTCATTCTTTCCTTACTTGCTATTTTGAATCCAGTAGCAATCTTGCTGAGCATCTTCATTCTTTCCTTTTCGTTTGTCCTGTAAATATAACATAAGATAATATTGTCATCATTGAAACTTAAACTTAAACCAATCAATAAGTTTGGTCATTATGCATCTGAATATTATACTAGGTTGCCTAATGACAAATAAAAGGAAGAGAATTCCAATCACACAAAGAACAAAGAAGGGCAGACCTTGTTGATGTCAGTTCAAGTAGCGAAGGAACCCGAGCTAGATGTTCGATATCTGGACACAGGCTGCTCTAATCACATAAATGGAAGTAAGTTTTGTTTTCCTTACTTAAATGAAGGTTCCCGTTCTAAAGTTAGTATTGATGATTGTTCTACTGTGGATGCAACGGGAAAAGATGACATCAAGGTTAAAACCAAGAATGATTTTGTGGAAACAATCTCTAATGTGTTATATGTTCTTGACTTAAAAAGCAACCTACCGAGTGTTGGTCAATGGAAAAAGGTATTTCATTACCTTTATTGACGATTATTCCCGAAAGACCTGGATATATTTTTTACTAAGAAATCAGAAGCTTTTAATGTATTTAAATTTCAAAGCTCATGTGAAGAATGAGACAGAAGGACCATTAAGAGCCTCTGAACAAATTGTGAAGGCGAATATTGGTCTAAGGCATTTGAAGAATTTTGTGGGACTCATGGCATTCGAAAAGAGCTCACACTGCAGCATGTACACCGAACAAAATGGTGTATCATAGACGAAGAATAGAACAATTCTCGATATGGTTCGAAGCTTACTGGCTCGAGGAAGAGTTCCAAAGGCGTTTTGACCGGAAGCGGTAAATTAGAGCATTTATGTTTTGAATAGAAGTCCAACATTTGCTGTTAAAAATATGACTCCTGAGGAGGCTTGGACCGCAAGGACACCTGTTGTAGATTACTTTAAAAAATTTGGTTGTATTTCTATGCACATGTCCCAGTCAAGAAGAGGAAGAAGCTTGATGACAAAAGCGAGAAGTGTATTTTTCTCGACGTTAGTGAAGCATCAAAGGCATATAAATTGTTCAATCCACAGACAAAGAGAGGGAGATATTGTTTTTGATGAAGAAAGTGGGATTGGAATATGCAGCAGTCTATCCAATCTTATTTGATAATGTAGTCGAAGATGCAGCCACGATGACTGAAAATTTAAGAGAATCTACTCCAATGGTAGCTGAAATTCTACCAACAACTGCTGAAATTTTACCAATAACTTTAGAAGAAGCTGATGAAGCTTAGTCTCTTCGTCGAGCTCGTAAAGGCCTTCTTGGATGATGGATTATGATATGTCCGGTATTAATATCGACGATGAGACAATTGCTCATTTTGCATTGTTAGCAGATAGTGACCCAATAACTTTTGAAAGTGTTGTTCAAGAAGCAAAATGGAAGGAGGCAATGGATGTTGAGATTTCAGCAATTGAAAAAAATGACACTTGGGAGCTTACTGATCTTCCAAAAGGGCAAAAGTCAATTGGATTCAAATAGGATTACAAAACCTAACTCAATGAGAATGGTGAAGTTGAGAAGTACATGGCGTGTTTGGTGGCCAAAGAATATAAGTAAGAGTATGGTGTGGACTAAAATGAGGTCTTTGCTCCAGTAGTTAGACTTTAATACCATCAGGTTTTGTGGTAGCATTGGCAGCCCAAAACAACTGGCCAATTTATCAGTTAGACGTGAAATCGACCTTCTTACAGGATAATTACAAGAGCGGGTATATATAGATCAACCCTCTGGATATGTGAAGCACAATAGTAAACATAAGGTTTATAGATTGAAAAAGTATTATATGGGCTAAAACAAGCTCCACGAGCTTGGTATAATCGTGTTGATGCTTATTTCAATATGGCAGCTTTTAAAAAATGCCCATATTAGCATATGCTTTATATAAAAATTGAAGATGGAACGCTTGTCATTGTATTCTTATATGTAGATGAATTGATCTATATAGAAATGATTTTGTATTGCTTACAAAATCTAAGCAATCGATGATGACTGAGTTTGATATGTCGGATCTTAGCTTGATGTGTTATTTTCTGGGCATTAAAGAGTATGGTCGTGGGCATAATTGCACTTTGGCATTTCAAACCTCATCAAAATTTCTAAAAATCCAGTTTATTGTGACAATGGTTTAGCGCTTAAGCTTTCTAAAAATCCAGTTTAATACGGAAGGAGCAAACACATTGATGTGGAATTTCACATCCTGAGAGATCTCACAAAGGAGAAGATCATTGATGTTGTCTACTGCAGAAGTGAAGACCAAGTTGGTGATATTTTAACCAAGCCTCTCAACTATGCAGCATTTGTGAAGCTGAGAAAGCTATTGGAAGTTTACACTTTGAGGGAGGCTGCTGTTGGTGAAGAAAAGTAAAATGAAAGTATGGAACTTACACTTTGAGGGGCTCAATCGAGTTTCGGATATGTTTAGGTTGTGTTGCGCTCGTTTTTTATATTTCGACGTTGTTTCTTCAAGCATAAGTGGTACCACATTAAGCAAATGAGCTCCAATTTTATTTTGATTGAAGCATTAGATCCGTATCGTAATTTTGGAATCATAGTAACTGGAATTATCAAGTTTAGACATCGTATGAGGAATTTATGTTCATTTTACTAAGAATTGGGTTGCTAGATTTTTTTTAGATTAATTACAAAATTGCCACTGAATTCGTATTTAAGAATCTGCTCTATTTCCAAATATCAAAACCAACATATCTCCTTCATTATAAGGTCAAATGGAGTGATTCAAAAGCCTAACTTGACTGAAATTTTACAAGGAATTCATTGGAGGCATCAAAAGCGAGTTTTGGGATCATTTGGCATGAGAAACAAGGCAGAACAACAGGCAAAAATATATATAATATCAAGGGTTTGTTCATTTGGTCATATTTTGAGTTGGCGAGCTCGAATTTGTGCGATTTTGGAGGCGATTTTCACCACATGGGTTGGGGTAAGTGTTATCTACTCGGTTTTGATTATATTTCATGAATCCATCTTCGTTTTTGGCATTTGATTGATGATTTCAAAGTAAAATTTGGGGGGTTTTGTTTAAAATTTCATAAAGTGAATTTTTGAGTTTTGAACATCGATTCGGAGTCGGATTTAAGTGAAACTAGTATGGTTGGACTCATAATTGAATGGGTTGTCGGATTTTGTAAGTTTTATTGGGTTCCGATGTACGAGCTGGGTTTGACTTTTTTTTTGACTTTGGGCTTTTGATTAAAGATTCCACCTTTATCGATTGAGTTTGTTTTGTTTGGTATTATTTGATGTTATTGAGTTTCTTTTGGCTAGTTTTGAACCATTTAGAGGTCGGTATGCGGGATGGCATTTTTGGAGCATCACTTGGCTTGCTCGGTATTGGATTTGGCTTGTTCGAGGTAAGTAACACTTCTAAACTTGGTGCTGAGGGTATGAATACTGAATATATGTGTTATGTGTTTGGTGTTGAGATGACGCACATGTTAGGTGATGGGCGTGTAGGCGTGCACCGTGTGAATTGTGACTTAGTTACTTCGGCGGTACTGTGTAGTTACCTGATCTTATCTGCAACCATGAAATCTCTACGTAGTAGAGCAATTGAGTTGTGGTCCATGTTAGAAACCATGTCTAGGCTACATGCTTATCCTATTGGGACTGTTGTTGAGTTATTTTCTTACATTGCAATTACATACTCAGTCATACACATTCATTTGCATATAATATCTTAGTCTATGTTACCATTTATTATACATCACATCGTCATTTTTGGAATGATTTTCATGACATTGTGAGCCCGAGAGACTGGAGAGATTGATGATCGAGTGAAGACGAAGGCCTGATTGTGAGGATATTTATGGGATTGGCTGCACGTCGCAGCATGTTTATTCTATTTATGCCATGATTGGCTTATTATAGTACTTGGGCTGGAATTACCCCTCCAGAGTCTGCACATCCACAGTGAGCGCAGGTACCTACTGAGTGCGAGTGCAGTGCGAGTGCGAGTGCTGACAACGAGTGTTGAGTAACTATGAGGACTGAGTGACTGTGAGGAATGAGTGAATGGGAGGACTAGGTGATTGGGAGGACTGAGTGAATTGATACTCTGACAGTATGCATATGGTTTTATCACTGAGTTGCATTGCATTCGACATGCACACTTGACATACATGCATAGAGATACATTTTTTCTCATGTTGTACGGTATTGTGTCATTCATGACTTCATATACACATTGATATGTAGGCATAAAGATGTACTTTCCTTGTGCCATTTGATAATAAAACGTCTTACCTGTTGTAGAAAATTTTTGGGAAAAATCACAGTTTTTCAGATTTACTCACATTTTGTTGATTTCAGTAAAAGATTTGGGTTTTCACTGTTATACTTGAAAAGCATGCCTATTTTCCGGAACTGTGAACGAGCCGAGCATTATATCTCTGAGTTATTTCTTTTATCGCTTTTATTATATTGTTATGAACTGTTGTTGCCTATTGGTGTTTGACTCCGATCTTTGTCCCAGCTCGTCACTACTTTCAACCTAAGGTTAGGTTTGTTACTTATTGAGTACATGGGGTCGGTTGTACTCATAATACACTTCTGCACCTTGCGTGCAGATGTTGGATGCTTACGTTGTTGTGTATGGCGGGAGCTGGACTTGAAGACGTACCTACGTTCCGGTCATAGCTGCCTCTTGATCTTGGTAGCTTTAGAATTTTGATATGTTCATGTATATTGCAACAGATGATGTATTTTTATTTCATACCAGCTTTGTAAATTGTAAGCTCATGATTTGCACTACCAATCCTTGGAAAATGTATAAAGGCTCAGTTATTTTATCATATAAGTGTTCAATAAATCTCATTAAATTGGATAGTTGTTAATATGCTTACCTAGAAGATTGGATTAGATGTCATCACGACTAGTTGGATTTTGGATCGTGACACTAACTTACTCCTAAGTAACTTCATATTACATGGACATTCACTCTTAACATTTTTTATGACAATAATCAAGATTTCCACGCCAAAACAAAGACAGAATAAAATCGAATAAGCAGCATTTACGGTTGACTTACTCTTTCCTTTATTTTTGGATAATTACGTCTAGTTTTTCTTTTCACAAGTTAATAAGGGTAGAGAAATTATGATTATGCAACAATAGGAGGTAATAAACTCGATTTGGATGGACAATATTTGCACACCACTTCTATAGATCCACGTATTTGTGGGATAAAAATGAATGAAAAACACATGGTTAGTGTTATAAAATAAAGACTTTAAAGTAAATAAATCGAAGACAAGTATAGAGAGAGTGATGTATTATTCAACTTCAAACTCTTGTACATAAAGAACTGAAAACTCCTCTATTTATAGAAGAAAGGAAGCAGCTGCGAGGCTTTTCTGGAAGCAGCTGCAAGGCTTTTCTTGAGCTGCTTGTAAGCTGTCTACATGAGCTGCTTGCAACCTGCCTGTTAAATAAGAAGCCGCTGCAAATCATTTTATTGAGTTGCTTGTAACATGCCTGCATCAGCTGCTTGTAGATAAACTTCAATGGAGTACTAAATGGATAATCTTCTTCAGGAAGATTATCTATAGCGGAGTAATAATGGACATCCACAATATAATTATTTTTATAACACTCCCCCTTGGATGTTCATTAAAAGATATTGTGCCTCGTTAAAACCTTACAAGGAAAAATCCAGTGGAAAAAATTCTAGTGAAGGAAAAAGAGTACATATATTTAGTAATGCACATTTCTAGTTGCCTCATTAAAAACCTTACAAGAAAAACCCTGTGGGAAAAAAATTAGTAAGGAAAAAAGAGTACATTGCGTATTTTACTCCCCTTGATGAAGACCTTGTTTCAAATATTTGAGTTTTCGCATTCCAATATTGGATACTATATTCTCAAAAGTTGAAGTTGGTAAAGACAATCTGCTGGATTGTCACTTGAACGGATTTGTTGCACACCAATGTCACAATTTTCCTAAAGATCATGTGTGTAGAATAATTCTGGTGAAATGTTCTTCGTTCTATCTTCTTTTATAAACTTCAATTGGGCTATGCATGCAACATTGTCTTGGTATAAAATTGTGGATTTTTTTTATCACATTCCAACCTATATTTTTCTCGAATGAATCATTGATCTCAACCATATGCACTTCATGATTGCCGGTTTGAGATCGAACTTTATGGGGATCAGATAAATAACCAATACGATCTGCACCACCTTTGTTAGCATTAGCAAGATAAATAAGTGCACCAATTGCACTGAGATAGAGTATTTCAGGACCAAGGAGTTCCTTATCCTCTTCTGGAGGTCAGAACGGGTCCTTATTCACTTCAAGTGATCGAACAATCATTGGTGTACTCAATGGGTGCACTTTATCCATGTAAAAGCATTTTAAGACCCTTTGTGTATAGGCAGATTGATGGATAAAGATCACGTCTACTAAATGTTCAATTTGCAGGCCAAGACAAAGTTTTGTCTTTCCAAGATCTTTCATCTCAAATTCGTTCTTAAGATATTCATTTGCCTTTTGGAGCTCTTCTGGAGTTCCAACAAGATCTATGTCATCAACACAAACAGCAAGTATAACAAATTCTGATGTCATTTTCTTTATAAAAATACATGGACAAATAACATCATTTATGTAACCTTCTTTCAGCAAATATTCACTGAGGCGATTATACCACATATGCCCAGATTGCTTTAAACCGTACAAAGGTCTTTATTATTTTGATCGAGTACATTTCTCGAGACTTTGAATTATATGCTTCAAGCATTTTAAATCCTTCAGGGATCTTCATATAGACTTAATCAAATGAGTCATATAGGTTATGCCTTGCATTTAAATGGTATGACACCTCCAGATGTCTGGACTACAGGTCCGATCCTCATAATCTTCTACAATATTGTGCACTATATTGTATCAAATATATCGTTGACGATAATTTTATATCGGTTCCTAAGCGACATAACTTGTTGAGATCTCATCACTTTCTTTAATTTTAGGTACCTGAACTTCTTCAGGAGTTTCATGAAATGTTATATCGTGGGCTCTTCTAGAGCTTATTTCCTCCTTATTATGATCATTTTGATCATTTGCTCCTATCCTTTTCAAGGATTGTTACCTTTGGAACCGATTGGTCTACCACGCTTCATGCGTACAGTAAACTCTATCCTTCAGGGACTTTAATTTTAATAGGAACATTTGCAGCTGAAACATGATATTTTATTTTGGATCAGCAAATGCTTCTGGCATTTGACTTGAATTATCTTCAAAGTGAGGACTATATTAATGATAATTCGATTCATACAACATATTTTTCAACTGCTTATTTCATCCCCCTAATGTTAAAAAAAACTAACATATATCCCAAATCTTCTTTAG